TCAGCCACATCAGATATCGTCAGGGCTGATCCAGAACAGAAAGACAGCATCAAAGAAGTAGAACAGAACGAACCTCAGTGTCAGTTGGTCTTGACCATCAACTCACGATACAGAACGTCGAGGCCACCGACTAGAGAACGAAACATTCTACACAGGCAAGAACATTTAGCGGTCAGTTCTCACAGAACCGGCTATCCCACATTCAACAACAATCTGTTTAAGACCAGAAAAAAAGACGTTCTTGTAAAGGCGCACGACATGACAAGACAAACCATCGGGTGCCTCTGTATCTACTTCGAGAGATATCGGGGTATATAGAGAACAAAAGCATCCATAATTAGTTGGATCTGAAGATTATAGTTGTAGCTGAAGCGTGGCTTCCTGTTAACATGACGGGAGGCAACATGAACACATAAGACAAGATAATCGTCAGATGCAACAGGAAACACAAAACCAAGGGAGTGGTGATTGACTTTAAAATTCACTTCGAAACTTTGCAACATATAGAATCGAATGAATCATGGTGACAGAAACATGCTGATGTTATCTTTGTGCAAATGGCACTGATTACTTGGTAAGAGGAATGATTCGCCCCCCCCCCCCAAGCTGTTAACACTCAGAAAGATAGAATAAGACAGACTCTATTGCAAATGCCACATCTTGAACTCAATCATATGCCTCTTACAAGAGACTTCAAAAATTCGTTCTTCGGTTTCACTAAACAGGTTACAGACCCAGAATAGTGGTCTCGTAAATGACTTGTCACAACCATTGAAACATATGAGCTGAATGAACATGTGGATGACGCCACGAGACAAGGTGATAACAAAAAAATCTTTCAAATTAAACCATTTACAAATAAATGACTAGCCTTTAAGCAAACATGTTCATCTCCAGACAGATAGGGTGTAGTGACCACATCACAGTGATATTTAACCTGATCAAAAACGAGACGAAATAGATGAACGAGGATGTTGCTTACGTTTACCACAGTATAGCAAACGACGTAGCCATGAGCACGCACTCTCAACAAGCTTCGTTGTCACAAAACTGTTGAGGGCTCACAGTGGATGACAACTGATAGATGCTCCTCAATTCTATAGTACTTTCGTGGCGGAGGTGTTGTCTACGAAATTAAGAGGAGGAAAAGAGTATGCCAGTGGACACGAAAAGTTGTCCTGTGCGATAATATCCAAGCCATGCAATCCGCACTCAATCAGTTGACAATTAGAGTCTGTAGGCATGGTAAGTGCTTCGCACCTTCGAAGTGCAAAGTACTTCTACCAGACTGGCAGGACCTTGATCCTGTTTTCACTCTGGGTAATGAACAAACATAATTAGTCGAGAAGCTCATGTATCTAGGTAGCTACATAAGTGCTAGTGATGGCGTGAGTGATGAAATCGTTTCACGTATAGTGAAAGCCAGAGCAGTTTATGCCAGTCTGGGCCATCTTTGGCGCCTTCGTGATGTTAGTCTTGCCGTAAAAGGTCAGATCTACAACACATCGTTGAGAGTAGTTTTTCTCTATGCTTATGAAACCTGGTCTCTGAGTTCAGGATGTTAGACGACGCTCTGTGTTCGATCATCGCTGTCTCCGAAGGATTGCTGACATCCAGTGGCAACATCATGTTAGTAATGCAGAGGCTCGGTATCGTGTGTCCGGACACAGAGACGATAATGCAATTTGTGTCATCATCTTGAAACATCGACTTCGGTGGCTTGGACATGTGCTACAAATGTCGTCCCAAAGAATTCCACGTCGCTCATTGTTTGCCGACGCTGGGACTGGTTGGAAAAAGCGGAGAGGTAGTCAGTGTATGACATGGTGGCGTGATATGAAAAAAAGCTCCAAAGGGCTGGCTTCTGTTGGTCCTTCACGACTCCCTGGCTAGGGTCTGAGAGATGGTGCAGCACAGTGGCTAGGGACGTTATCAGATATGGCTCAGAATAGAAGCCAGTGGAGATCCCGTTTTGACCTTCTTCATAAAAAGTGGTTGTTTCTTCCTTAACTAAAAGATTTCTTCTGATTGTATCTTTCCGTTTCCTCTATTATTATTATTATTATTATTGCACTACCTTACACTTATCTGTATCCGTTACTGTTCTTTTTTTCTTTCTACACGCACCTTACATTTTTTTATCTCGTCCCATTCTCATTATCACGTGGCGCATATATATTTGGTGCCCTCTTGCGCCAATATTTATGTGTTCAAATAAATAAATAAACTGGTAGATAGTGAAGGATATTATTAGAGATGTTATCTTTCGCATTTAACTCGATCAAAACTCACATCTGGTAGAGGAACGTTTTGGCTTAAGCAAGGAACAAAATGATTATTATGCGTAGAAAAGATGGTGTAGAACAGATTGAAAGCTTCAATGGAGGATTCTGACTGTATCGTTTTCTTGGTATCAAGAAATAGTTGCAACGCCGCAGATCGTAGCGACAAGAGCTATTTCCGAATTAAACTACCAGCTAAAATACAAATTTACTCAAAATATATAAGTTCATGACTCAACTAAAAACACATAACAGGTGACGTTTGCTCCTGAGGATGATGTAGGTTTCGGACTTACCAACCTAGAGATGGCAGAAATCTTTCATGTCACCTCTATTGATCAACTAAGCCAGGAAACCACTGGCGCAGAACACATCTTAGCTGATGATGCGTGGAATACTTATCTAACTCCTGTGCTAGCAACGAATAAACGAAAGTCCTTCGATATGTAAAAACCACTGAGATGAGGCCAGTTTCTTTTATAACCCCGAGACAATGCACGTAAATTGCAATTACACCGGTGTGTGAAAAGCACAGGTTCACAGGAACGTTCGAAAGACTGAAGTCAGGAGATTCTTTCGGATCTTCAAGGGAGGAGAAATAAAAAACTGGTGTGGATGAGTCACCAAAATACCAACACTTTCGAAGGTCATGAATGAACGCACCAATCACAGAATGCGGTAATAGATTGACAAATGTGTTCCTTTCAAGTAAGCTAAAAAGTGATTTTGGAAGTTATTTTCAAGAGTTTGAAATCTCTTCACAGCATGAGAAAGCTGGACAAACTTTTGGTTGCAAAAACACGGGTATGCGTAGTATTCTTCGACCACTCCGGAGCGTTTGATGCATATAGGAAAAGTTAAACAGATGGGTTTCACTGACATTAATCTTCTCGGGCATGATAATCACACAGTGAACCGTGTGTTGGACACTAATTTGTGCAGAATTCCAAAGAGCTTGAAGATCTTAACTTTAGGAGTCACACGAGAAAACATTTTAATTGCATTTTTCTTCTTGATCTTCATAAATGACCGCACAGACACATTTGGCTCGTCGATTCTCGTACATGCTGACGATACTTAAATGTGAATGTCTATAAGGAGGTAAGCATATCTTCAAAAAGACTGTGAATTGAAATTTAGTCCATCCGAACGTCATATAGCGAACATTCAGCCACATGGCTGACTAACAACTAAAGTCCTCTATGAAAATCCGCGCTCACTAGTCTCCTCGGAGCGTGATCTTGTTCTAGCAACCACAAAGATCAGGGACACTATTTCAAAATATATTGTGGTTGCGGTCGATGGAAATGCAACACTACACTTTATGACAAGACAAATGGGTGCAATCAACTCAAGATAGTTTCTCATATTGATTAAAATGTGCTCCAGACCTCAACTCAAATTTCGTAAAGTTACCTCCTCTCTTTGCAGCAGACCTAACTCTCTTGGAGCAAGTACAGAGATGAGCAACCAAGTGGGTGATAGGGCTAAAGAATTGGTATTACGAAGACCAATTCCGACACAGTATTATTCCCGATGAGGTGTGGGAGAATTAGAGATAATCTGATGGTGGCATCGAACATACTATGTACATCAAGCCACTCTATCACGAACAGTCTACTAAAACATCACCATAATGCTCTCTAACGCAACATTTGAAAAATTGCACGTCGAAAGGCGAAATTTCAGATAGCTCCAACATTTTCTCAATAAGAGCTGCTTCCACTTGGAACGCTCTTCGAGTCAAAATAACTATAACCCCTTCAGTGAGTTCGTTGAAATGAAGACTTGAAAAACACGTGCTCACCCTCGGATCACCATTTTCGTTTGGGTAAGCTGTCTGATGAGTTTCTCGTAACTTACCTACCGTTATCATTATCACATATTATTGACGACTTTCTGTCTCGCCTATTATCAACTATCTTGCTATTATTCCCATTTCTATTCTTACACCTCGGCCTACTCACACTGTCTGCACTGCCGATCAATAAGCTTATTTATTTATTTATTTCTTGAGACAATGGTCTCCTTTTAGTATTAGAGTTTTTATTTCCCACCGCAACAAACCAACCTCTTGTCTGGTAAGGTGATACTTAATGCTTACAGAAACCCTGCTACCATGAGACAAACCCACTCATTCAGATTCTAGGATATGCAAATCCACAAATAATTGCCAAACTAACTAGAACTTGTGAATTCAAGTAGCTAGACTACCGAACACTGGGAATCACCAGGAAACTGTATGCTTATCAATTTAGCAAGATGAAAACGTAAACGAATAAATTCGTTCAAATGGGCTCGTCATGAAGATATTGGATATATTTGCCATTCCTTTTGGAGTGTTTGTTTGAGAGTCATCGTCCTATCTCCTCAGTGTATCATGGTGTTATTTGAAGCTCGTCGTACTACTTGTTTCAGGCGATATGTTCAATTTTCCATCTTGCGGTAAAGCATATTTCTCGACTTTATGGAAAAATTAAACGAAGGCGGAATGGTTCACTAGAGCACATCGAATCACAGATCAAGTAACGAAGCGACAATTGAGCTAAAGTATATACTACAAAACAGAGAGAGCTAAATTAATGCTTTCGGCAGTTGTTTTGTGCTTTTTAACACAGCAGAAGACTACTTAAATATGAGAGAACTTAATACTCATACAACCCTACAAACCCACGATAATTGAAATATGAAATGACCACCTCATCTAAGGCCATTCAAGGTCGTTGAAACAAAGGCGGGCGACTTTGAGAGGATTTGACATCCATTGACTGGTATATTTCAATTCAAACGTTCATCTAACTTGCTGACCAGATACATATAAATCATACTGAACTAGTTATCACCATCACACTACTCCTACAAATGAGATTTTTAGCATACATATTTGTCTACTTGTTTCAGGTGATATATTCAATTTTCCGTCCTATGATAAAGTATATTTCTCGATTAGTAACAGGGAGGTGTGAACTAAGTCGCATAATTGCTGATTGTCCGAAAGGAGCACCCAGAACTGTCAGAATAGGTTGGTTTAGCTTTAGTGTTGTGTTGATTGTATATAAAAGAAAACGCGCTGAGGAATTCAAAAAATAAATCTATTCAAAATGGATTGCTTTTGGAAAAATGTGCCGATGCTAAGTCACATGTACAGTTTGTCATTAGTGCTAAGCGTATTGATCTAAAAGATCAACCAAAGTATTATCATATACACAAACTTATGCCAGTTTTCCTACCGATTATTTGTACTGCATCAGCCAAATCAACTCTTATCGGGAATTAATAAATAAATTGGATGCCTCTAGGTGTACTGCGTTTAATTCAGATGATCACTACCACTCCGAATTACTTTCAAGGGTAGTTTTTCTCACAAGTGACTTGAAGTTTTGTAGTTATGGATTTGTCTTGATTCTCAAAACGAATTGTCATCCCATAATGGAGAGAAGTGGACTCTTCTTGGGTTTCAGACGGAGAACCCCGAAACGGATTTCCGCGGAATGGGTATACTGTCTCTTGAAAATCTTGTGTAAGTCGTATTTAGTTGGTCAAAACTAGTCATAAATTTAGTGATTATATTTTGTCAAAACTCATCTTAATGACGTTTAAATGTTCTTCGGGTAAAGCAACTGATTTGCTCATGTGAAACTGATATATGTGAAAGCGATCAACGTATTACGATTTTCAGCCTTATCATTCAGCATTACTAATCCCTTATTTTTATGTAAAATCTATACTTATGTAGTCCACATTAGATTCGACAAGTTAGTCATAAGTATCTAGAATCACAAGGTCACGTTCAGATGCATGGCAGGTTCTACGCTGATAATAATGGACTAAATCTTTATGGTCACCCACTTTTTCATTAGGGTTAGAACTCTTTTAATTAACATAGTAAGACTAGAATTCGCTATCTCCATCTGTGGGGTGAATAAGTTTTTTTCTGCCGTTTCTGCACGTAGTGATCGTGTTTTTAAAACCCGTAAAACAAGGTTTAAAATGACAAAAGTAAACGAATGTTGAAACTGAAGTGGGTATGGTAAAATGGTTGTTTTTCGAACGCCGGTTGAAGTTCATAGTGTTATACTACGGTGGTGTTATGTGAATGAATTAAAACTTAATGTGATCTTTCTTACATCCACTTTAAAACTTATAATTTGTGAACTAATGTCATAAACTTGCTGACTCCCCATTCGTTTCAACCAAATACACCAGCTTTCGTGAGAATATTTCATTGAAGTGTAGTCCTTGTAACAACTGTTTTCTCGTGTTAAATTTTCATTTGTAAGGACACTGTCGTTGTAGCACTCTTAACCAGCCTGTAAACCGACCAAAATTCGTAATTTTTATCAGTTTAGAGTTGTGGAGGTTGTTGAATTTTGATTGAAATAAGGACTGGTCAATGTGAGACCACGACTTGAAACCTGAGAGCACTGGACGGCCATTTCGTCCTAGTGTGAAACTCCTCAGCAGCACAAAATCGTAGTTTATAGTTTGTTTCAATACATCGTGTTTTGGCATCCTCCAAACGTTTATTGAAGTATTAATTACTTATTGATCAAGATTCTAAATACTATAATAACCCTTACAGTATGCTTGATTGATTTCGAGTCCATTTATTGCAGTTATTCAGAACGTTTGGAGGTACATTTTTGTCAGAAATATCACATTGACAAAAGTTGAAAGTATAGCCATATTCTTCTAAAGTCGAACACCATTACCAACTGTCAGACCCCACAATTTGTATAAAGTGAAGCGCCCTATTGCTAAAGGTGTAAGGCAAATTCACTGTAGACGAATTAAATATACCACTGCCAGGGAAGTCCTACTCACTGCCTCCTCGAAGCAGGGGTGTTTATAAAATTGAGAGATCGAAAAGGGAGTGTCCGGCGCTTTAAGCGGGTTGGTGGACATGGGAGATCCATCAAGGGGACTTGGAAAACCCTAATTCCAAACTGATAGTGCATATGGGCTCCCGGATCCTGAGGAAACAAAAGCGTATACACCTATTGTTGGTCACCGACTACCACGGGCCTAGTGGATTAGACCTCTAGTTAAAAGACTCTGGGAGTGGTTCTCCAGGAGAACCAACTGCTTCGGTCTGGTAGTACCAGCAGTACCCTAGCCCTTACACAAATCAAATGATTTGTGTGGCGCATACATATTTGGTGCCTCCTTGTACCAATGTTTACGTGTTCTAATAAATATTGAAGACATGGTTGATAGAATCTTTTCCAAATTTATTTCCATAAACCATTTAGGACCTATAGTATTGTTAGAAGGCTTTGTGTTATGTTATTGTTCAGTCCAGTTATATTCCTCATCATGAATATATATTATAGGAAACTTGCTACAGCATTGGCTTCTTTTGTTATTACTGTTTCATGTTTCAAGTAAAAACATACCATGGAGCTTAAATCAGTATAATAACACTACCTAAATCCTAACTATTAATTGTGCTGTACTTTTCTTTGTATAGTATTTTCTTTTAAATTTATAACTATATAGGTACTTCGCAGAATCACATACGGAATTAGCGCGAAGTATGTTATCGGCATCACATCATCCTAACAAATGGTAAATTCTAAGAAGTTATTTGATTACATTAACTCGTTTCCAACCAATCAGGTATCCATTTGCTGTAACTGGTATCCACTTGACGAAGTTGTCGTACAACTTAATGCTGAAGGGTTATCTAAAATATCAATTCTATAATATGTCCTCATCAGCCAGCATCCAAGACTTCAACGAGTTTTACTGTAAGTGCTACCGTTTTATTTTTCGTAATTTCCCTACATTTATTTATTTATTTGAACACATAAATATTGGCGCAAGAGGGCACCAAATATATATGCGCCACGTGATAATGAGAATGGGACGAGATAAAAAAATGTAAGGTGCGTGTAGAAAGAAAAAAGAACAGTAACGGATACAGATAAGTGTAAGGTAGTGCAATAATAATAATAATAATAATAATAATAATAATAATAATAATAATAGAGGAAACGGAAAGATACAATCAGAAGAAATCTTTTAGTTAAGGAAGAAACAACCACTTTTTATGAAGAAGGTCAAAACGGGATCTCCACTGGCTTCTATTCTGAGCCATATCTGATAACGTCCCTAGCCACTGTGCTGCACCATCTCTCAGACCCTAGCCAGGGAGTCGTGAAGGACCAACAGAAGCCAGCCCTTTGGAGCTTTTTTTCATATCACGCCACCATGTCATACACTGACTACCTCTCCGCTTTTTCCAACCAGTCCCAGCGTCGGCAAACAATGAGCGACGTGGAATTCTTTGGGACGACATTTGTAGCACATGTCCAAGCCACCGAAGTCGATGTTTCAAGATGATGACACAAATTGCATTATCGTCTCTGTGTCCGGACACACGATACCGAGCCTCTGCATTACTAACATGATGTTGCCACTGGATGTCAGCAATCCTTCGGAGACAGCGATGATCGAACACAGAGAGTCGTCTAACATCCTCAGTTAGGTTATGAAAAGAGTGGTAGTTACTCCTAAAATATCTAAGTACAAAGGCAACCATGTACTTAATGTAATATAAAGTACTGCAACCTATTAATGAAGTACGTGTTTATTTACTCGGAGTTAGTTTGAAATTTTTCGGAGTAGGAATATAACTTGACCACTCAAAACAAAATAGCACAAGTGGGGCTTGGGTCTTTGGTACAGGTTAAAAATAATGTATTCTAACATATAGGGTTCCGTTCATTTTTAGTTTACTTTTGGTCAACTGAATAAAACCTGATGTGTTTTTTCATTTATTTTCTCAATGAAAGCGTTAGATATGTGACAATGTGTTAATAAACGTAATTTTGTCAGTTTTCAGACCGGGTGACACTGAGAATGTCTGAGCAAAAAAACCTTTATCTACCTAAATTCTTCCTATTTTGTGACTTAGTAATCACTTATAGATTCGCAGAGTCGCGTACATTAACTTCACTTTTCAGAAGCTGATATTATTAGTTTGTTGTTCAACTCTTGGTTATTGAAATAAGTCCAAAATCGTTTATGTATTAGCTATCAGTTGAGTTCCTAAACTACGTTTGTACAGTAACTCATTGTCCCACGGCTAGCACCCACCCAGAAAATCTACGTTTCCAAGTTCAATTATTACGCTTATATGTTTATGGAAAATGTCTGATGACTCATGAAATACCATTAAGGAGCAGTTACTGGCATCTTGAACTTTAATGACTATTTGTTTTAAGACATCTGGTTGTTAGTTAACTACTGATCACTCATTTGCTACTTAATTAAATTAGCGAATTATTAAGTCCGGCACATCCTACTCATAATTCCGAGTTTATTAAGACTACATTTGATTAGGTATGGTGGCAAATATTTTTTTTGTACTTCAAGCAGATTTTATAGTAACATACACATTCAGCAATTATATTCGATCTATGTGATAGTTTCAAAACTCATGCTGCAACGTATAGTCTTAGTTAACGGGATACCAAGGTATTTTATACGGAGTCATAGCAGATAAGGAAAATGAATACTTTACAAAGCTAAGCGACAATACCCCTGTCTTTAGTAATCATTTAAATGTCAATTTTAAAGAGCACAACACTGCACATAACACCACATCGTCTTACATTGATTAGCAGATATGAAAATGGTAATGCTAGTCAGTCTGTTTGAAATGAGGTTTGATAGACTAATAGATTCGGTTCCTAAAATCATCGTTGAAAAATCTGGAATTATTAATTACTTAAGTTGAATAAGATTTGTATGTCTAGGGAATATTGCAGAAGTCGAATTAGCGGTTTTAAGTCATTCTATTCACATGCTTTAGTTTTCATTGTTACAAAAGCATTACACTATGTAATTTTGTCTTATGTGCTCAATATTCATTGATTATTCTCTAGACAACATATGAGACTTCATGTAAGAAGTGTATATTGTTGATTATTTTAGCTTTATATTGCCAGTAAGAACCTCAAAATCCCCATTTTCATGAGATCGTAGTTTTCACCAATGTGACTAATAAATAGATATCCCTATAAAAAGGTATAACAATGTAATCAAGTATTATAAAAGAGTATCCCTAAGGCTTTTTGACCTAAAGCATGCATAATTTCATGTGTGTATAAATTCTGCGATTTCTTCACAATAATATTATGAAGAAAATATTTAGTGTATTTGGCTACGAAATGACACGAATAATCAATTTGACGCCCTATTGTTTACAGTTCGTACTGTGTAAAGTTTAATCATCCTTGTTTTGGAATAAAGTACTCGGTGATCACTTACCTTGATTGGTAAAAAAAAGAAAAGCTTTCAATAAGTTATAGCTGTCTAAATATATCGTTTTGAAATTATTTTTGTTCACCATTAATAGTTTTACTAAGAATGGATTGACAGTTAATGTTAAAAGTTTCTGCTTTTACAAAAACCTGAAGTAAAATCTTCAATTGATAGAAATGAAAAACTACCAAAATATCAAGCAACTTTCTTTAACTCGTTAAAGCTACATCATTTCATAAGTTTTCCTTTCAAAATTTTTACATCGACCCGTTTGAGCTCACTCTTAATGTTAAGTATAAATGATTTGGCACATATATATGTTCAAACCAAGTTTTTGTTCGAAAATCCGGTATATTTCTATCATTATCACAATGTTTTTTTCATACTGTAAGACAATATTGCACAACGCTTGTGTATGTTAATAGATTTCTTATGTGCCATAAAGCTTGATTGTTGTTTGTTCGAGTAGCTGTTTTCATCCACTATTTGTTAAAATCTAAAAGATGGAAGTGTTTCACATTAAATCTGATGACATAAAGGTATTCAACTTATCACATCATTGTATTGTATAGTGGTAACAGAATCGTTTGATTATGACAACAAGAATTTCGTTTTACATTATCCGTCTGTAATAAGTTTTGACGATTCAAACTAACAAAGCGGCTTTATAGATTAATCCTATGACTTGGATAAGTAGTTTCGTACATTTTTCTACAAGTGACCTATTCATCAACTGATTTGTTTTTTATTTAAAATACTTCTTGCTGTAAGTGATAGGTATGTAATGTTTTTGGTATAAATTAATAGAAATGCTTTTACTGGTCAGTCTGACACCCTGATTATTGTGCTAAATCCACGAAAACTGTAAGAAGTAGAATCCTTTCATGTTTACTTACATACCAGCCCATTCTGCTATACATATATTCTTTTTCCTATCATTTTTTTATACAGGTTATACATTTTATTCTTTCCACAAATTCTGGACGAAACACCCTCGTGATATAATGCAATTCAACAAATATTGTGACGATTTCGGGAATAAATTGAAATGTCGTTTACTGGATGTAAACTGTAGATTATGTTTACCGGAAGATAAAAATTAAATGATTCACGCGTGGTTATCTTCCCGGCATTAGTAAGTAAACCACAAGTTATGCGGTGAACTACATGTAATTAATGTGGCGCTAACTATGGTTAATTATACCACAATATTTGTAATATTCACAAGCGTGATATCTGCGAGTTTCTTTTCAATATTTTAGTATAATGCTACTTTGCAATCCTTTAAAGTGTGAAATCGACGAAATGAAATCTTTATTTATTCTGCTCTCATTTACGTCCCTGTTTTATTCGAAGGCATAATGAAATCCGGTTATCCGAAAGCTTACAGTTACATCTGTTAAGTATTGTCTTTCTTCTTTCAATACCTATTATTTTATGTTTATTTCTGTTCATATTGATAAAGGACATTTTATTTTGTAACATTTGTGAGTTGTTTTAAATACTTCAAACAGAGTTGTTACCAATTTTTGACTGGTAAATGTAAGTGAACAAGAAGCTTCATAGTTGGCAACCATAGTCCATTCACTCTAGAAGATAAAACCGATTGGCTAATTTAACATTCACTGACCACAGTTCCGATGTTGAAAAAAGAGCTTTATAGAAGGCCCAATAAACTTCAAAAAGCTAAGCTTTCTGACAGATCAATCATAGAATAGATGGTAAAACTCTAATTTATGAACGGACAAATGAGATTTAGAGTAACAGGTCTTTGATTTCAGCGCGAAATCCATTTGGCATTTAAGCTGATGTCAGTTCTAGATGAAAACCCTAAGTCTAGTTCTTAACCCTCACCATCAATTGTAAATCATAATCTTAGTTCCCCACACTGGTTTATAACCCCCCATTCAGCCCTATTAAATAAGTGAACATCCTCAAGGTGACTTTAGTGTCGTTCATAAATTATAGTCTCACCGAATAGGGTTTTCACGTCCAAGTAGAAAACGAAAACCAAGTTGAGCGACAATTGGGCGAGTTCATCAGTGAGGGTCCAAGAAATGGACAGAAGTGACTATCTATTCCAACTATCGGATACAATACTCTCTACAAATATGGAATGTTACTTCAGGATTGGCTCGCGTCATCACCTGAACCAATGATAGGAAGTGTAGTTGAACGCATCTGCCGCTTCACTCAGCTGCGAGGCGGCTCAGTTAGAAAGAGTACTAGATAAGTGCGGTAAATTGATTGATGAAGTAGTCAATTTTCATCAATTTATGTGGTTGGGATGTGTGTTACGTATACCTAGCCATCGACTACCTCGACGGGCGACGTTTTCTGGTGCAAGGTTGCCTGCAAGAAGGCTAGGGGCGGTCAAGTCAAAACATTGCATCAGTCCGTGAAGTCACTGACAACTGGATTGAACTACGTTAATAGGTACAGACTACCTGGTTTGAGTTCACGTGATTGTCGTAATCAGTAGTTAGACTTTGAATGATATGGCTCGAAATCGTTTGCAATGGCTCAGGTGCATCCATTCTTAGTCTTCCCCAAATCCTGAGCTTTTAACTTCCTCACAACTTTGTGTTTTCATTTCATTAATTTATATATCCTTATCGTGAATTCCTATTACCACTGATATTGTTACTACCTCTACTATTCTGAGATTTGGTCTGACTTCACTTCTCTGTGCTAATCGGGTGTCGGAACTTGGATTGATGTACATGCGTATAGGTTCTATGTTGTGATTGAATAACCATACGCAAAGGACCACTCAGTTCTAGAAAATGAAAATTGTAATCATAAGGAAAGATAATTTCCGATGACCCCCAACATCAACACAGACCTCGTCTTTAAGACTCGATTCACGAATACTGCTTCTCCAACGCACATGTTCCCACAGTCCATCCTGAAGTGTAAACACGCGTTTGTCTGTGACTTACTGGGCCTATAAAAGTCACAGAAGGAAGACCCTTTAGAACTAATTCTGAAAATATGGTCAGAAGTACAGTTTACGAACAATAAACTAAGCACTTAGTCGACCGTGTGGGTTAAGTTTATTCTGAGAGGCTTGATGTGATATCCAAACAATTGTAACAACAGCACTTTTATTTACTTGTGACTCAAACTAGAAGCTTAAGAAAGATCAATGGATTTCGGGGTTTTCAAATAAATTGACAGATTCTCGAAATCTCACACTAATCGGCACCGAAACACGAGGATGAAAGACAGTTTGAATGTAGACTGACAAATATTTTAAGCAACGGTACCCAGTGGTGGTGGGGAACGAAGGCTACATAGGCGAAAGGGTAATGCCAATACGTCACACTAAATTACTGTTCTAAATCATCGAGAATACGTTTAGTAGAATTCAGCTATGAGCTAGACTACTTCGGAACCATATTTCACTTATTCCAGGAGGTTAAATCGGTCAGCAGAACACTTAGTAACAGTTTAGCCGGTTGCCAGCTATCCACAATCTTCAAGCAGTATGGATGGAAAATTGGCACAAGTCCCATAACTGAGATCGAGGCCATTTTTAATTCGAAGTGAGGAAGAGTGGTAAAACTAGATAGGTTGGTTTCGGAAGTCCTTAAGAATGATTATACAGTCTTATATGTTAAGTTGACTGGTATATCAGTTAGAGTGCGATCTATGAAATTGGGAAGTACGTGTAGGTTGGAGATTCATGATATGTAATCCCAATGATTTGTTTGCGTACCGTGAGACAACAGGGTGAGCGACGGTACATTAACAACTGTTGTGTTATGGTGCTGTCAAAATCCGAATACTTGTGAGCTCCAAAATGTCATCTAAGATAAACTGTGCTTTTTGTAATTTCGAAGGATATCTTTTACACCTTTCATTGCATTCACGTATTCAGTAGTCCAACCGTTATCAATATATAATCTCCTGAACACGTATATGAAGGGACGCTGGGAAATCTCGGCACAGTTTATCAGCATTGATAAGTGTTAAGTCGATATGTTGTCAATTTTGTTTAAAAAGGCTGTTATGTCACGTTTGATGTGGTATTGAATCTCTATTTTGACCAGAAGAGAAGTAGTGTATGCCTCTTCAATGTACGTGATTCTTGACCGTCACCTAAGTATCTATCAGCTGTAGCGGTAAATAAATCCCCAAATAAATAGCTCTGTAAGTTTTCGACACTGGATGCTGACCATATGTCTTAGTGGACTCATCTAGCTGAAGGCGCTTGATCATGCATCCGCATCAGATCACGTGTGGTAACGCTGTGGTCAACATCTACCGCAACCGCTAGCCAGATTAGATCAGAAAATTCCGATATATTGGTTGGAGGATGATACAGGTATTTATTGTTTGACAACGCTTCTACCAGTAACACCTTCATTGGTGAGCCCGACGTGATCTGGTGCGGATGCATAACCGAGCGCCTTCAGCAAGATGAGTCCACTAAAACATATGGTCAGCATCCAATGTCGAAAACTTACAGAGCTATTTATTTTGGGGATTTATTTACCGCTACAGATCACTCCCCCCCCCTAGTGGGGCTGTAACGACCCTAAGACGTGGCCAGCCAGAAGTTTAAACCCAACGAGTTTGTCGTTGGTAAACACTCTTCTGATAGCTTACTAAGTTTAGCAGCGTCTGGTCGTCTTTCCTTACTATATGGGACCGAGGTATAACATAGTAAAAAAAGAAAAGTTCAATGAACATTTTCGATCCCTCGCTAACTGCATCGTTCTTTTCCAGCCGTCCTGGAAAAGAGAAAAGAAAATGTAAGTGCATGTCGAAATACACTCGTACGTACGTAAAAACACAATGTCAGCGAAAAAAAGGAAAATAAACTCAAGCACACGTAATAGCGTTAAAAAATTTTTTTTGTTTTGTTTTTTTTGTAAATAAAAATATAAATATATGAGCATATTAAGATTGTATTTTTTAAAAAAATATTCTATATCGTAAAAAGGAAGATCGAGATAATATAAAATGTCGAGTAGTGCTTTAGGTGCAATAGTCGTTTAAATGTTCTGGAAATCTTACTCTTCTTCCAGAATGTGTCGTTTTAAGTTTATTTTCAAACATATTCGGAGTGTCATCGCTAGTTTTGGTTGTTAGTTGAGGAATTATGAGTGTAGGAGTCGTGTTGTGCAATTGTACCGAAGGGAAATCGACGTGAATAGGATTTCCTTCTAAATACTCTGCTTTTAAGCGATCGATGCTGATGCTATCGTTTGTTCCGTTCTTATCGACTATATAGTACTTAGATTCGCGTTGAAGAACTTTGAAAGGTCCTTTGTATGCTGATTCGAATGGTCTTCGATGTGCGTCTCGACGAACGAAAACGTGTGTAAGTTAAGTTGAACGAAAACATCGGTGGATTGTGGTCGTGTGGAAGCAGGTTTAACTGAACGCATTGCGTTTGTAAGCCTGTTCGTGTAGGAGGTTAGATCCATGCTCATTGAAGAGGATGAAGGATCCACGAATTCTTCTGGAAGTCGAAGTGTCGTTCCATAAACGAGTTGAGCTGCAGTGTATCCAATGTCAGCTTCCACTACATTGCGGATACCTAGTGAGACGAGTGGAAGAGCGTCGGTCCACTGTGAGACCTTTGCAGCTGATAGTGAAGCTTTTAGTTGTCGGTGAAAACGTTCTACCAACCCGGAAGCGAGTGATTCCTAAAAGTGTGGTCAGACGACGGAAAAGTTCAGATTCAAACTGACGTCCGCGATCTGTAGTGATGGTTGAAGGGCAACCGAAGTTTGCTACCCATCGTTCGACGAAGGTGCGGGCCACTGTTTCAGCAGTGATGTTCTTGATAGGTACTGCTTCTGGCCATCGAGTGAAACGGTATACGCAGGGATTTATTTACCGCTACATGGTTATCGCCAAATACACTCTTCCGATCTCCTCGACTCTGTCTTTTGATTTCTCTCGGTGGGCACAAATGATCTTAGGTGTTGCTGGTTAAAGCGTTGTCAAACACTGAATACCTGTGCCATCTTCAAGCGAACCACAGTCGTTACACGCATCACAACCAAGAAATCTGTATCTACCAAGATAGCCCGAACCACCTAGTCATTTTCTGCCCCCGAACTACTGTCAGTTGTCGAAGATGCTTTATGAATGTATTGGAGATGGAGGTTACGTCGATGTGATGAGATTTTAAGGTCTTAGCTAATAACCCTTAGAGTATTTTTGGACAATCATTTTTCGGTACTGATTCAGGAGACATAAGATATCGTTTTGTAAACTTCGATCATTAGGTTTGATGGAATTCAAAAACTTCAGAGAAGTGTGGGTGGCCTAATTCGAATTACCTTTCAGTGATTAAGAGGCTCTTTGTTTGTCGATTGGATAGCCTCATATGTTGTAGATATTCCTCGATTCCCTATGTGTTATAGGAATATTTCTTGAGGAATATGAGGGAGAAAATGAATCAGCGGTAGTCTTGTCAACCTGAAAACGTAATTCCAAGCTCAATAAACCATTGCTTGGGGCCCATCATGCTGCATTTTCATTACAAGTC